GTCCGCGCCAGAGCTGGGCCAGACCAATTTTGCTGACTGGGTAATCATAACTGCGTGAGCAAAAAAAGCTGGAAGTTTGGACAACATTGCGGCTTTCAAATCAGTCGTCTGTCTTTAAAAAAGTAATGAGCTGTGGTGTCATAAGTGAAGAAACCTCATTTTTCTTTCACAGTATGTACATAAACAGGATGGCCATTAATGGGGGTGACGAGAGTTGGTAGAACACGCAGCAGTTCATGACAACACACTACACAGCCCACAGTAGCGGCGAGGTTCAGCTCGGCGAACCAACATTCGTTTGAGGAATGTCGGATCTGTTTGAGTCCAGTCTTAATTCGCATCTTCAGTCATGTTGAGCATTGGTGGAAGTCATTCATCTTCACATAAATAAATACCGGAGGACCGATGGCACATGAGTGGGGTCCTAATCACTAAATTCATTATTTGGACATTTTGCTAATGTTCTGATCCAGTGTGACTCACAGTGGGTCAATGAAACAGAACGGTCACTTGCTAGGCCATGGATCATTTCTGTTCTCCTAATCTTAATTACAAAAATAAAAGCTATATTACTTGTACTTTGAGGGAAGTAAAAATCCTGAACAAAATCTAAATACATTTACTCGATATAGAAATTGTCCAAAGGTTTGAATAAGATTGCTGTCTATATTTGCCCTTTGATTGAGTGGAAGCCAATCCAGGATGTAGAACAACTCTTGCCCAAAGTCCAGCATTAGAACAAGTACTGTATGATGAATGGTTGAATGCAAGTATACATAAAAAAATCAATTTTCTGTACCATAAAGACCCTGTAAAGCTGTCTTTATGGTACAACTATTTAAAATGAGGCTTCAAAATGGTGAAAAATTCAAACCAATTGTCCACACCAGTGATTTTTAAACGGTGGTACCTTTACCAAAAGTGGAACTTGGGCTCACTTTCTTGTGGTACAGTACTTGAAAGAATCACTTGAGAATGACTGGTCTATACCCTCATACACTGTTGCTTGTGCTATGGGGGGCACAAGATATGGACAAGATACGCACATATTTTCAAAATGTGTGCTCTTAATATATGTCATTTTTCATCATACGTTTCTCGATGCATGTGTAAAAGATTCACCATTCAACAACAAAGGGTTTGAAGCAAAAATAAAAATAACCACATACCTTGATTTTTTTTTTCCCAGTGGAAAGTGCTCTCTCGTGTAAAAATTACCATTCAAGGACGGCACAAAACTACTGAACAACCAACCAAAATTAAGTGCGAGAACTCAATTTGTGCATTCTTTTTCGACAAACTCAACTCACACAAAATGTTAATATTATTGAGGTTCGATGTATGTTCCAAATGTCAATCTAAATCCGCAAAAGAAAAAAAAAATCAAAAACCTGAAGCCTGACTACAAAGGATAAAAAAAATGGTGGGGTCGTGAGGCTGAATCAAAGGGCCACTCAGTGTGGTCACAGGCCACACTGCGAGTTGTCCATGCACTTTGAAAATGCAAGTAGCTTCTTAAAATAATAACAATAACAATGCATTGGAGGCTACAATCATAAAATCAAACAATAACCACACAAGCCAATTTACTGGACACTGATTGGTGGAGAGATAATTTGACTGCACTCAAGTGTATGACTGGGCGCCACTTTAGCCACGGGGCCACAAAAATCAGGAAAACAGAGGTGATGAAAAACAGTTGAACATCAAATTGCCACAATTCAGTCCAAAATAGTTTTTCCATCTTCTACATTTTCAGTAATTATCTTCAACCATTTTTTATGTATTTACAAACAAATGTATGATTTCTCTTTTCAGGCACTTTAAATATTGTGGTACAGTACACATATAAAGGAAGATCTGTCAAGGGGTTATCCATCTATTATAATGGATACTGTTCATAAGAGCGGTGAAGAGTCAGGATCATGCATCACCAAAAGCTAAAAGATGAGCAAAAACCATTTTAGAAAATTATGAATTTATTTTAAACCGACAAAACAATTTGACAAAAACTGTTTTTAAAAAATGAAAATGCATGCTTGCAAATGACAAATTATACAACAGCGTTTATAACAATGTGTGAGTTATTTAGAGTTTTCCATAATCAGTCAAATCCTGACCACAATAAAGCATCAATATGAAACGTGTTTTATCATTTAGTGTCCTCGAGTTCAAATATGAAGTCTTTTGGAAGCTTCTCATCGGGGATTCTACTTAGTTGCTCGTCGTAGGAGCGCAAGGTCCACAGTTTTTCCAGTTCATACACTTCTCTCGCTTCTGGAAGCATGAAGTGAACAACTATATTGCCTGCGTGACACAAAAGGGAGGGAAATTTTACACCTGCAAGTGCAAACTTCAATGTGCAATGTACGTTACATCAAGTAAAAAAAAAAAAAAAAAAGTTAAACTTACCAAAGTCAATACACATCCAGTCGTCTGCAACCTTTCCTTCGAGCTTAACATGAGCATCTTGATCTTTCCTCAGGAATTTGTACTAAAGGATGGAGTAGAGATTATTTTTAAAAAACAACCAATAAAAGGGCTCTTGCTCCAAGTGTCAGAATTAAATTGAGAAATTGCAGGCCACTTACTACTTTAATGGCATAAAGTGCCATTGCGCGCAGATGTCTCGGTGATACGCCACTGACAACGATGAAGTACTCTGTGTATTTAATGTGCTCAGGTACTTTGATCACACAGATGTCAGCAGCATTTTCCTGACGCAGGAGCCCAACAAGCACATCCAGGTTAAATGTCTCAGCCGGCCCTGTAGATTAGAAAAGTAATGAAAATATAAATTTACCAGAAAACAAACAACTTTTCACTTGCTATTTGAGCTACAGCTGCATGGTGAGAGACCACCAACAGACATTTGCTGTACATGGTCATGCAATCTAATGCACAAGTGAATTAAAGTATACGTTCTTAAATTAAGAGTGTGGCTAAGGAACCTAGCAGAGAAATTCTGATTTCATCAATCTTGCGAGAATTTAACATGTCACAATTTCATATCAAATTAAAGACAATCTGGCACCTTATTTACTTGAACACGTTACACATATTGAACATATATTTTTATACCAAAATTCAATGTATGCAAAAAGTTTTTAGCGACTTTTTTCAAACCCAATACTGTATATCAATGGCACGATAAAATGGGGGGCCGAGCTGAAATAAAGATACTTGTCTCGGAAATTATGAAGGCAGACCAAATTATTCCCGGTTCTCTAAATACGCGATTTATGAAAATAGGCGAAATGAGGAAACTGACACCATCCAAATTGCAGCCACTTTTATGTGAATACTGTAATTACTTTGTCGACGCCACTTCAATTTCACGAATCTTTGCAATGACTAACGGGATCAAATTACACCCCTTGCCCCTTGGTGGATATAATGAAATCCAATATAAGGTTGTAACTCACTTTGTCTTGGGTGACGCTTGTCATTCGAGTCGCCATCCATCTCGTGTGATTCCTCCTGAATAACGTCAGTCCTCGTCAGTATATGACTGCTGCCGGGGTCCATTTCCGAAAAGCATCTTTTTGCGTAAAAGTGACGTGACGATTCACGGTGGACATGCCAGCATGAGGTTAAATGTGTAGACAAATGTCGAGGAATGAAACGGTTATGACAAGGAACTTCAGCGACCAAGCATAGCCTTGTTAAAGCACGACTCTGTTCTACTAATACTCTAATTGTACCTACTAGTGGGTTAATGTACTTAAAAAGATTCATTCTCTGAGATTAGTACAGTACGACATCGATAACCTTCTACTACTGCCTACAGGATAAACACGGAAGTATAATGCGTGCTTACATTTTGATTGGTTAGTGAGTGTTCTTCGTTTGCTGTGACACAAGTGCAGATGCACATATCGCCCTCTATCGATTACAATGGAATCGGGCTGCATTTTTTTAATGTAGTGTGCGATGTAGAATCTGTAAAACAAAGGCACACAGTGGCAGTATGTGTATATGTGTATATAAAATGTCCAGGGTGAACACATTTACAGCCATTACAGGTAACTGGTAACTTAAATTGACCTCTTAACATGTTTATGCTCATGCAGGTTTTGCCCAACTTTCTGTCCTCAGGAACGTCTTGCACAACTTTCATCCCACTTCATGTCACAATTCACAATGGATGTTTGTTTACCAGGAAAGTTCACTCTTATATCCTTCTGTGACTCTTCCAGTTGCTCTATGGCAAACTGCCAATGACGGTGTCATTCTTCGCTCAGTGGCCACTTCACTCTTGAAAAAAAATATTTGAAGTCTTGAAAGGGCATGGTACGGTTGATGAATTGTTCGGCATCGTCTTGGTCTCGTGATGTTAGATTTTGGACAGCATGATGAAGAGGAGGATTTAAATACCAATTATAATTGAACCAGAAAATGTATTGGTCTATTCATGGATCAGACACGCATTGTGACTTTTCCCACTGAGCTCCTTATTTGAAAACAGGACGTTTTAAAACAGGTACAATGAACAGTTAAGGATGTAGGTTCAAGTTGAGCGAGTGCCAAGTTAAGTGACATTTCAACCAGAAGCTGATTTTCACAAAATCGTTGTTGAGTAGTGCAACTTTGCCAAACAATCTGTTTTTCTTTCACTTATGAATGAATCTCATGACGTTAGATTTGAACATCAAACCAATGGAAACGAGATTTTCTGGTCATGCCGGCTTCATTGGGCTGTGACAAAAATTAACGTCTTTTAATAAGATATGAGAAAGAAATGTGTGAGTGTCAATCGGGGAATGGCAAAAGTAATAGGCAGTGCTGAACAGAAATTACTGTTTATTTTTGTTGGGAATTATTGTAATGGAATAAATATACAAAAATCCAGAAGTTTAAAATGACAACATTGAATAGCTTAAGTATCCCGAGAAACCCCTAACACCACCACCTGAGATATTTTACAGTGATTTCCAGTGCATGAGCATTATATCTCCAACTCAAAGTACACTATGTAAACATAATTATTATGGCTATCCAGCAATGTACTTTCCGTACATTTTGTTCCCTTTCTCTGAAAATGGAATTGTTTGAATCAGTTCAAAGTTCTGACTTATCGACAAAGTCAAGAGTCCATTCTGACATTCAGTCTCAAGCTCACAGGAATATGGTCTGTCAGGCCAGCCAGCTGGGTTATAAATGATACCTCTTCCACTTCCTAAAAGAAGAGGAGAACGTTTAGTTGTCATTTTACAAACCATGAACGAATGAGCAGATGATCTGTGAATTGGTCTAACAAGGAGAGAAGTGGAGAAGGAGAAATGTTAAGTGCAGCCACATACGGTTTGGCAGTGCTTGGAAATTGACTTTTCTCGGAATAGGATATAATCAATCCTTCGCCCAATCCACGGCTGGTCAGTTTCGGGGTAAACCAATGGCGAGCCTGCGGCAGGAACGGGAGGGCAGATGTAACGCTTCCTCAGCATGTCATTCTCCAGCGTTCTGAATAGATACAAACACACAATATTAGTTTTCTTTGCACCATTTTAGTTCGGTCGATGTTCAGATGATGTGCACGTTACCTTTGGAGGTTTTCTGGCGTGTTTACAGCGTTGTCATACAACGTTGGCTGCTCTAGCAGAGTCCCTGTAATGCACAAATGACCATTTATATCATTGTACGTTCAAATGGGACCTCATGTATTTTGTCGATGTGTCACATGTACGCACCAATGACCCAGGGCTTCTCTTTCCCCGGCCCTGCTCTGCAAGGGTCTTTGTATTCCTCAAAGAGACCATGATTCTGTTCCAAGGTGTCATCTAGACAGACAGGAGAACAGGTTGATATTAAAGTGGATGAAGTGGGGGCAAATGGCAATTGCAGGAGAGAAAAACATACCCGGTGAGCAGTTGTCAAAGTTAAAGTCTCCACAGAGCACATCAAAAACCACTTCCTCATCAGGCTGTCTGGTGGCTGCTTGGAAATTGGCAATCCAATTGGTGACCATGTTCAGCTGCTCACAGCGGATCGCTCCTTCACCTTATTCAAAAACACACATGCCCTTCATGTTTGCTTTTCGACTTCCTCAAGCTAGTCTGAAAATGTCTCTTACCTTCTGGTGCATGAAGGTGGATACAGTTGAAATAACCAACCAGTTTCTGCTGCTTCACATTTTTCCCGATCAACACCTGAAAATAAAACAAACGGTTTTACATCTTGCAGTACAGAGGAAACACTTACGCCCATAATGTCACCATTCTGGAATCCATCCGCACGTTTTGTAAAAATGTGCCTCTAAAAGCGTCGTCATGCGCGAGACCACAAACACTGAATTGCTCAGGGTGGAACGATATGCCAGAGATCCTGGTTTTGGTTCAAATTGGGTACAGTAAGAGGGGAGAAAATGTGCTCATTTTTTGTGCAAACAGCAAAAGTTTAATGACATTTAAAATGGAACGTCTACAGACGAACATTTTTTTTATGATTTGGTTACCGGTTTTGGTCCATTTTATGTTATAAAATGGGCAGAAATATTGATCATTGTTTTCCGGTTTAAAAGCAGACGTTTGCAAATGATTTATTTTGATTAAACAAAACCATAATCCGTCTGTTTTAATAGAGGAATAAAGAAATCTGAGAAAATCTATTGTTGAGATACTGAAATTCTGAGGATTTGGACACATTTTGGTCCCTAAACCATGAATAGATTTTCAAAAAGAATGACAGATTAATTCCAAAAATAAACCCGAAAACAACAACACGAGTTACAGTTTGTCCATGGCAACGAGTTGGTATGTGAATTTGGGTCAATCGCCAAGTGTGGGCCGCTGACAGTAATTTGTTTGACTGTGCAGTTCAGTCACATTCGGCTGAGTTGTCTGGTGTGCAGTGGGCCTTACAGAATCTTTACAACAAACAGGAGAGAACAAGTACCTTAGCGGCAAGAAGGCCTTTGGCAGCCAGCGCGTCTTCACCTTTACTGTTGGGAAAGCAGTGGTACTCGGCCTCCACGAAGGGGAACCGGCTGGCCAGGAAGAGGCCGCTGTTGAAGAACTTAAAAGAGGAACAGCTGCACGGGGGCTGGCAGGCGTACCCCCCAATGTCGTAGAGTATGTGCGCAAACAAAGGACTTAGCGCACGGGTGAGTTTCTGTGCAGCCCTCTTATCAAACACCTCCTCTAAACAGAGGATGTCCACATGGGAGGGGAACATGGTTGACACTTCCCATGGCACGTCGCCCAGCTGGCCAAGTCCTTGAGAGAGCAAAGCGCGCGGGGCGCTGCGCTGGCCCGGTCGGCCCTGCTGGTTGGAGTTCTGGTTAGAGTTGTGCTGGATGGAAGCAGAGGGTTCTTTTGTATCCTCGAAGGGTATGTAAACCACGTCACTGTTGGAATTGGGGACTGAAGCCTGTTTGTCTGTAGCACCGTATGTAAAGGTGTTCGAGGTGGGGAGTATACTGTTGGAGGGGCTGAGAGTATCACAGCTGCTGGGAGAGTCGATAAAGATACGAACATTGGGTCGGCCCACGCCCTGAGCGATACACTCGCCAATAGCAGCAGCCCTTTGCTGGGTGTTACACAGGTTGTTGAAGCGAGCCAGACTGTCGGGCAAAAGACACAAGTTGGCCGAGGCGAAGACGAACGACGCCGTTCCCTCCAGTTCCAAGCCCCTGTGCGTCTCATTCTGGAGTGACGCCGTCTCTTGGTGGTAACAGAATGGTCTGCGGCATGCCTGCAGCGGGGCCCACAACAGGAAGCCTAACAAGGCTATGGGCGCAGTCACCAAAAACAGAAGGAAGAAGGTGATGGAGCCGAAGAACACCTTGAGGGGGCGGAGGGAGCACGTGCCCTCTCGTTTCCGTTCGAAGGTGGTCGACTTGCACACGGCGATGAGGCGGTCGAGAAACCAGAAACATGGCAGAATCAATGCCCAGCCCGTCGCATGGGCGGCTGCAGCACACCGGTTGGGGAATGGGGACGTCTGCAGGGCCATTCTGCAGGGCCCTTCGCTAAAAACCCCAGCGCAGCAAAATCCGGTGTCACCTCATTTCTTTCCTCTCCACTGGACACTAAGGAAATGAGAACGAACCCACATGTTATGACACTGCATTACAATAAAATGTGGTTTTACAAGCTGAGCGATGGCCTGTACATTTATCTGTGATGGTTCACTGGCCTTTTGGTAAAAACAATGATGACACGATCGCTTGCTGAGATGGCAAAGACAAAAACAAAAGGGTCGATAATACAACTTCTGTTGTGTTGCCCCACAGTGACCTACACACTTTTGTGAAGGTAAGGATCCCTTTAGTAGGGATGTCCCAATCACTTTTGAATGTGGGAGTCAACCGGAGCACCCGGAGAAAAGCTACGCAGGCACGGGGAGAACATGCAAACTCCACACAGGCCCGGAATCTAACCCTGCACCTTTACACTGTGAGGCAGATTTGCTAACCAGGTAAGACACTGTGCCCCCGTCCTGCGATATTTCACTGGTTATTTTAGTATGTTATGTTTTGGAATGCAGGAGAAACCGAACACAATCACGAGGTAACAACAATGCAAACGTCATACTACTACGCTAGTTTGCATCTAAAGTTTTTGCGGCCTAGTTACTATTTGGCTGAAATTGTTCTTTTGCACATGGATCGCTGAGGTGACAAGGGTTATAATACAATATAAAATTGACATGAATATGGTGTACCGGATTTTTCTTAGGACAATAATGCAAATTATTATTATTTGCATGCCTCTTCCTGGTAAACTGTGAAGCGATTACAAGCTTTTCATAATTGACATGTAAATGAACCTGATGATGTCTGCAATGTAAAAAAATGTGTGAGGTGGTGGTGTGCTGGATCCCTGTTAATAAGTTTAGTGCTTTATGTAAAGCGCAGCTATATTTTGTTTTTGTTTCTGCATGCAACAGTGTGGAAAGAAACTAAACTGAACACTGGAATGCTGGAGGAGAGACTCCAACTGCGGACTTCAGTACTGTACTGTGGTTCAGACATGCTCGCCACTCACCGTGCAAAAAAAAAAAAAAAAAGTGTGCGACATGAAACAAAAGGAATGTGCATGTATTGACGTTATGATTTCATTTTCAACATACTGTACCGTGCGTCACATAAAAAGCATGTTGGGAAAAGAGCACGCTTTACTTTTAGCGCATTATAAAGCAACGGTAATGGAATTAGCCTTTTCAAATGAGTCGGCTGGATACAGGGCGGATCATTCAAACAACCAGGAAGTTGCATATTTACGCTCATCGATTCAAACGTGCAGTCATTCATCATTTTAATATAATTTTAGTTGTATTTGCTGTATTACATTTTGCACGAAGACTGACAACTCCAACTTGCCGTACGTGCTCGCTATGCTTCCGACTAACCATTTCTAGCTTCTTCAGGTGTGGACAGCGCGTCATCGCGTCCTGTGTAGGTATGCTAAGCTAACAATGTTGTAAATACAATCAAAAGATACAGTCACATATCGCGGTCACTGTCGAGCACTTTGTGACCGTGTGTTCAACCTTCCCGACAAAGCCCACAGTATTGTCAAAGAACATCTTCAACGTGCAAACTAATGTCAAGGCGGCGTCGGCTAGCCTCAAACGGCTAAATCAAGACATTCCAACCTTTGGTAATGAAACCGGGGCGGACCACCGCCTCGACAGCAAATGATGTAGTAAGACTAAACAACTACATATTTGTGTAGTTGTTCACGTCAGGTAGTCGAGTATTCAAGATCCAACTCCGCGTTTTAAGGAAACAAATGAGTGAATTAATGAAGTGGTTCAAATAAGATGAACACTTGACTTACCCTGTTCTCAAGTCCTTCATTATGGACTGAGTGAGCCGAGCCGTAATGACGTCACATGGGTGGTTAAACCTGCGTGTTACCAGACCACACCTGTGACCACGACACAAACATACCTGTCCCAGGCACAGGAAGGTCAATTTTATTTAATAGCCCTTAATCACAGAAACGTCTTAAAGAGCTTCACATCCCCGATCTTCATCCCAAAGAGGGCAAAAAAACCTTAAAAAAAAAAAGTTGACACTTGAGCAACGCAAAAGCTCACTTACAAATATTCTGATTCAGTCATTTAAGTTTCCTAGTAGGGGGGCACTGTAGTACGCACAATTCATAACAATATAGTACTGGATTAAATATATATATATATATATATATACACACACACACACACACACACACACACACACACACACATATATTCTGTATGCATATTAAAACCCATTCTAGTATGTTGGTTTGTATTTCATTTTTTAAATGTTGTAAATCCTGAGTTTAATTCAGTGATTCTTTCGTTTTCACGAAAGCGAGCCCACATACTGCGAGTGATGCTCATGCCACACATTGAGAATCACTGCATTAAGCAATTTTGCGGAAGAATAGCTAAATTAATACAACAAATACTATTGGGACTCTTGATACTGTAAATGCTTTTTGGACCGAATCAAAGAACTGAGCGACCTGTTGTGGGCTGTGAGCCATACTTTGCCCACCACAGCCCTACATGCTCATTTTGTAAAAGTTGTGCATTAATGTAGCTTGAGACTTACTCTGGTTAAGCACAAACAAAGGCTGCAGATGCAATATGTATTTGTTTCACCCTTGTCAATAAAAGTGTGGACAAATTGTGATAAGAAATGAGTTGTGGTCAAAGTACAAGCTGATATCTAAACTTCACCACAATTCAAACAAAGTTTTTCAGGAACACTGGATTACTTGATTGGAGATTTTCAAACACTGAGAGATATTAGAATGAGAGAACTTGCGATTGAAGTGAAGATACTGTACAGTATATGTTTGTACCCCATCTGCATGTCAGATTTTTTGTTGTTATTGCTGTTAAAATCATGGGCGTCATTAGGCCTATTTTAGGGAGGCTTCAGCCTCCCTAAAAATGTCTTTAGCCCCCCTAAATAATTTCATTGCATTATTTAAAAAAAAGTATTATTTATTTTTCCTGTACTTTTGCTAATATATTGCATCAAAATCAATGTAATGTGGCCATTTTAAATTATATTTCGATAACCTGCCATTATTGTAATGTTAAATCTCCCAGGTTTCCTGAACGCAACAGGTGTTGCGTTAGCATTTGACGTGTCTGTCACCATAGCCACATCAAATGCTAACGCAACAACTGACAGTTCATTGCCGAAAGTCAGGTTGAGTCGACAGCATGGATCTTCGACAGTTTTTTAGAAAGGTAAATTAAATATTCAATGCATCCATGCTGGTAAAACTAGTGACTATAGTCCGCTAAAATATCTCCAGTAACAGCAGAAACTGCACTGTAACAAGTGTTCACTTTTTGATAAATTAAGGCGGTGCTTAATAAAAATTAATCAACATTTTATGATTAAATACATAAATAATCACTACACCAACTCTTTGAGGCAACACCTATTGAGATTTTGGCCTATATAAAATAAATAAATAGCTGGACAGGTGAGTCTATCAGATCTCAAGGCTAATTTTACTTGCAAGGCTGTTCCCAAAATGCAATCGGAGCTTACAGTAAGGATTTAGCAGCAAACTTGTGTTTTTCCAAAGTGATGAAGCTTTTGCATCTCATTGTACTAACTTAAATTGCATATCACAGCAGACATCTCAAAATACATAGTCTTCTGGGGGCTAAGCATATATTAATACATTTTGGTAGAGAGGAATATAGGCCTACTGTCATATAGGTTATGTTATCGGGCATCCTTCTAATTCCCTTGAACAACCAAGATTGAACTTTTGAACTCTTTATAATTTCTATTATCTAGTCCAGTTAAAGTCCAGGGGAGGAAGCCCCATCATAGAAAAGAGGATACTAATGTGATGTGTGTAGTTCTTCATAGCCTCTTCATTTTGCTCTCAAAGTGCACGGAATTGATGGATTTTTAACAAAATGTAGAAAAAAAATTCTCCCGGGGGGACATGCCCCCGGACCCCCCTAAAGGGGCTGTGTTCCCCTTGGGGCTAAGCCCCCCTTGTTCTTGAAACCTAGTGACGCCCCTGGTTAAAATCAAAATGATAGAATGCGTATTGGGTCTTCTATTAACTTATGGCCCAAAGTCGATCACAGGGGGTGTAGGGAGAAATGGGAGGGGGAGGGACGATTTGTGTGTCTGTGTGCGTGTTATTAATGATATATTTTTGTTTTAGTGTACACTGCACCCTAAGCATCCGATCCCTTTCTCTTTTGGAAAAAAAAAAAAATTTAAAAATTAAAACAAAATTTAAAAAGCAGCTTGCTCACCTTTAACCTACGGTGGCGCGTGACCTTCATCACCATAACTTGCTAGCGATCAGCAGTTTTGTGATCATATTGCAATACATTATATCTTTAAAATATACAGTATACAGTAATCCCTCGTTTATCGCAGTTAATGGGGACCAAAACCACCCGCGATAAACGAAAATCCGCGAAGTAGCGACCCATTAACATGTACAGGTAAAAAAAATATATATTTTTTTAAGTCCGCGAGAAGCTGCAAAACAACAGCGAGTCACATAGAGCAACATATACAGTACTGTACTCCATGTATTTAAAAAAAAATT